ATGATAATATCAGACCTTTGAGTTTAAGTTAATATAAAAATGCAAATGTATTTTTACTTTTGTTTGATAAAATCAGGTTGAACCAACTCAATTGCATTTAACTGTGAATAGTTTTTTTTTTAAATTGGTGCTAAACAAATTTATTGGTTGGAAATGCTGCTCCTAATTACAGTTTTTCTTGTTTGCTTTGACCTGGTTAAAGAAACTAGGTTCCACTTCATTTTCATTTTCACTATCCCAGCAGAGCAGAAGACCGGTCTTGCAAATGTGTAAACTCTTTCTCATTGGGTTGACACATTTTCCACACCATTTTTCAAAACAGCTAACACGGATGTCATTCAAGCAGTCCAAACTTCATTGTTTTAGTTATGGTAACCAAATAGAAACCATCTATTCCTAACCATTAGAAACTACCAACATCAATGTGAATTCACTGAAGCACCGGATTGACACTCCTTCACACAAATCTTCAATAAGCAATCAGTCTGCAAACCTTATAAAACGGTGGAAGGTCTGTGTTGTTCTGTGCCAGCATGGATGAAGGAGGTTAATAGTGGCTATGTCTTATACTCCCAATAGATTTGACTGTAAATTGGTTTAAATGTGTTTTCTTTAATATTTACACTATTTTATTACTTTTGTCTGTTTTTACAGTATTTCAGTTTTCATCCGCAGTTTGAAAATTGTCATGAATTCAATATAAATTTAATCAAAGCATTTCTTATTCTGGATGCAATTCTTTGCAAAAAGGCAAATTTGACAGCTCAAATAGAAAGACAACAAATGGCATTGGCAATAATAGGCTACAATGACAAGCAATGGTGGTGCACTGAGTTCTGTATTTTGTATTTTGTTGTCCATTGTGCAGTGATTAATTGAAAGAGCTCATATACCTGTTTGCAAGTTCTGTTGTTTGAAGGCAAAACTAGCTTTTGTTGCATATGTTAAATGTTTTGACACGGCATGTGCCTTTTGCAAGCAAAATGTGTCATTTTAACCATGAGTGCCGCTGTTTAGGCATGTGTGTTAACTGTTTTGAAAATGTGGAGTTTCAGTTGACAACTACATCCAAGCAATCGAGAAAAACTGTAAACTGAGTTCATCCAATGAGTTATGCTTTTTGAGTGCAGTTTCAGTTTATTTATGACTTCATCTATGTTAAGCTGCTTTGACACAATCTGCATTGTAAAATCACTAAAGAAAAAAGATGAATTGGATGGAAAACTGATGATTAATATAACCACATTTTCTTCTCTAAATAATTCTATTGTGTTCATCAGAACAAGAAGCTATCCCATTTGTCAGCTATCATTCTGACTGTTATCTTGCAGATTCAGTTGTAGGAGATATTTTCTTACATGGATATATTTTGGCATTTCTGGCCATTAGATTTTATGTTACATCTTTAATAAGCTTAAAATGTCATGTGCCACAACTTATGTGTGTTTCCTGGTCCAGTCAGAGTAAATGGCAACGCTTACTGTAAAAACCACAAATGTTGTGATGGCAAGCTGTGCATCACAGTTTTTTAAAATAACAATTGAACATTAGACTTTGACTAAACACATACATATATTCATAGATTATTTGTACATATACAACGTTAACATTAATAATATAAAAATTTACATTTGTTTTAGCAAAGGTTAATGTGATTAGTGCATTGTAAAAAAAGCTTCTTTTGTGAGCGGGGGGAGATAAGAGTTTCACTGTTTCATCCACCAGAGATCTGTATGTATGACCACTTCCTGTTTAGTCATTACATTTGCCCTGCTTGTTCGTGCTTTCTGTTACCCTGGAGACTGCATAGTTCACTGAACACGACTGAGAACCCCCCAAAATGCAACTGTTGCAACAGAGAAAAGTGCAAGACAGTGCAGATAAAACTGTGCTCAAATGCATTCACAATGAAGCACTGTTTTGGGCCTGCTGTAACAAATAATCAAGACTGCTGCTGATCTATTCAGCTGAAACAAAAAAACAAAACAAAAAAAAAAAAAATATATATATATATTTTTGTAAAGTTTTGATTATCTGACAGTATGCACAAACACCTCCTAAATGCTTACTTAATGTTTGGAAGGTCATTTTAATTGAAGTAATGCTTTGTTTCTCAACTGCCTGCACAAGTTAGTTAAATACTACTATAGTATGTCCTTGAAATCTTTGCACTGTAAGACTTAATGGCTCATCAAAGCCACTGGAATTATATGGAAAGGTAATCTTTCAATCTAGAGCTTAGAAGCCGGAAGTGTAAATGTCCTAATTAAAGAACAGGAAGGCAGAAATGCCATGAGTATACAACAAAAATACACGTACAATTCACATCATTGTTCCTTAGTGGGCACAGCCAATAAAATAGAATAAAGAAATAAAGAGTTGAGAGAGTTTTTCTTGCACAACGGTGCGTGAAGATTTATTTTCTTTTTGAGGAAGCTGATATGTAAATGGATTTTTTTTAATGACAACCAGCAAATCCCGCTATTTATTATGCTTGATTTAGACAAAGATTGGCTTTTTATGTTATTTGGGTACAAGTTAGACAACATTTGAATATTCTTTCCTGAAAGGGTATGAAAATGTTTGGTACCTGGTTCATGACATGGGTGGATTCACAGGAGTGAGTGAATTGAAAAAATGTGTACGCAGAGACTCCAAAGGGTTTCGTGAAAGTAAATTTAAGACTATTTAAAGACCTTTTAAGACCTAAAGGAAATGTGATGAATAACTTGAAGAAATAAGTTATTAATAATTTGAAGGAAACACAGAGTAAATATATATTCTCTATAACACTTACTGTAAGTTGGAATTCTTGTTTGTACTGATCTCAATTTGTTTTTAATTAAGTTTGCTTATAATGTTTGAACATGTTTGCTTTCCATAGTGAATCACATTGTTTTTTTTGTTTTTTTCAAAATTTTAAAGACTCTTACAGTAAAATAAAATACATTTAGCAAAGAAAATTGACACAAGACAAGAAGTATTGCCCAGCAGACGCACAATGTCATAGTATATTCATATTAGGTTGATTTAGGTCACCAGCGTCTAAGGACAATGCTATTTTGACATCCAATAACGACGTGAAATGATGTTGATATTTTGTTGTTTTTAGGTTGTGTTGGAAAGTGACCAAAAACTTTGAGCCAACATCTTAAACTCACAACATATTGATGTCAAATACTGCCGTTTTGGTATGGCAACTGAAATTCATTGTCTGACCGACGTCTTATTGGTTATGTCCACACATTGTCAAGTTGTATCACCATTACACGTTGATATTTTGTTGTTTTTAGGTTGTGTTGGAAAGTAATTAAAATGACGTCGGCCTGATGTTGGGTTCTGACGTCAAGCCAATTTTAATTTCCAAACAAAATGCAGCATCCCATAATGTTGAGGTACAACGTCAATCTAATGTCATGTTGACGTCCTGTGCCTGCTGGATGGTATCACTTTATTTTGATGGCCTCCCTAACAAATTTAGTTGATTTTAAGTTACATTGCAACTACATGCTAACTCTGCCATCATATAAAGGGATACCAAAGTCTTTTTTTATGTGTAATTTATTAAAAGGAAGCAAGTTTATGATTAATATAAGAACAAACATTTGCCAATTAACAGTGGGTCCAGAAAAATTTAACTTCATTCAAACTGTATTGTAATTTTATACCACATTATTGCAATGTAAAAATGATCAATTAGTCTTGACAGCATATGCTTTGCGTTCATTGTAACTTAATAAACTAAGTTAATCATGTTCTAACTTAATTTATACGTTATGCAAACTGTTTTAAGTCAGTTGAACATTATATAAGTTCAACAGACTCATATAAGGTTAATTTGATTCAGCTTTTAAGGCAATTTTAAGGCAACCATTTTTTAAGGTATAGATGTTTATTCTTTAGGCATAAGACATTTTGCTCACTTTCACATAAATAAATAAATAAATAAATAAATAAATAAATAAAGAGACTGAGCAGAAAAGAAAATGAATGAAAAATAAATAAATAAATAAATAAATAAATAAATAAATAAATAAATAAATAATAAGGATGTTAAGATATTTTAAAAACACCAATTTAGTTATTAAACCTTCGGTGCCATAGCTTTATGTATTATGTAATTTAAAAAAGAGTGAATAGAATTTATTAAATAATAAAAAAGCGCTAAAATTTGCCGTTTTAAATTGTTATAAAAAAGCTATATAAATATTTGAACTTTTCTAAGACTTTAGCTACTTGACTGCATTGTTTTTAGGCTAAGTTACATTGTCGTTTGCAAGAGGAATTTCTTAGGGTGAACGTCCGCTAGTGCTGTAATAAATGCTGATGTAGTTTGTGCTGGTTAAAGCCTAAAAAGAAACTAGGGGCGTGGCTAACAGTTCCCTACGCAAGCAGTGAAGAGAAAAGTGAAGATGAGAAAAGTTGAGGAGCACCTGAAGTAGGAATGAGCTGCAGCGCGCCTCAGCAGCGGTTTTATTTTACACGATAGAAAAAACAAAAGACTCTTATTCCGACTTCTGCTGAGATGGGTCAACATTATCGACTTCAGGCCATTGTTTCCCGTACAACTGTCTTGTTTGTTGTGCTCGTCTCGGTAAGTGTTTTAAGATTTCGTTGACAGATGATTTTATATCTGCTTTCTTCTACTACAAAGCTTATTGCTCAAAGAAGCTACTTGTTTATGGGTTAAATCTAATTGTAAATATCACATCCTGTGTGGCTAAACATACATTGTTTAATTCCCTTTTGTAGCGATTTGTTTTACTGTGAAGTTTGATGATCCTGGCATAAACTGCGTTTAAACTGTGAGCATGTATTGATAACAGTAAGTTGCATTAAGGATTTGTGTTGCATGAGAAAGCTTTTTATTATTATTATTATTATTAGTAGTAGTAGTAGTAATAATAATAATAATAATAAATTATTTTGAGTGTCAAAATAATAAAAATACACTAAAGGGCGGGGTTACCAGTTTGCTACGCCCATATCAAGCAGAGTGAAGAGAAGAAAGTTGAGGAGCACCTGAAGTAGGAATGAATAAACGCGCGCCTCAGCAGCCGTTTTGTTGTACACGATATAAATAACAAACTTTTCTGAAAAATCAATAGAAATATGAAGTGACAAATCGTTTTTTTCTGCTACGATGGGTCAACGTTTTCTACTTCAGGCCGTTGTTTTTCATGTAACTGTCTTGTTGGTTGTGCTCTTCTCGGTAAGTGTTTTTGATTGATACTTTTTAAAATCTGCTTTCGTCTACTTTTACAAAACGTATTGTTCAAAGTAGCTAGTTTTTTTTTCGGATATAATAAATCTACTTGTAAATATCACATCCCGATTTGCTTTACGGGGAAATTTGATGATCCTGACTAAACTACGTTTAAACTTTGAGTAGCCTATTTATTGTGTTGTATGGGATAACTTATGGCAATAATACCAACAACAACAACAACATTAATACTACTACTACTACTACTACTACTACTACTAATATTTATTATTATTATTATTATTATTAAAATAATTTGAAAGGCAACTTCGGTTTAGGCATCGTGTAGGTTTTGTTTTCAGCTGCTTTACAATCACAAATTGGTTCAAGGAAAGTTGTCAGTGACTTTTGTGCCTTATTATAAGTTCTTCCCCATAGCTTGACCGCAGCTTCAGTGAGAAATAGTGATGTTAGTTAGTTGATAGTTTCCTCTATCTGCTTGTTGAATTTGATTCTGCTCTGATGTCTGGCACCAGCAGTATTTTTTTTCTAGATGATTTTAAGCATGTGAATATTTTCCATGATGCTCTGTTTAACCAGAAGTGCAACTATTATCTATGCAAATTTCTTAGGTTCATCTCATCTCAGCCAGTTAGCGTTGGTGTGGCCGATAAAACAGGCAATCTGGCTGTGCTTTATGGATTAAATAGTCTATTATTTCCAGTAACCTCATTCAGATACTGGATTCTGTCCCCTGTTTCACCTTCTGTGGATTTGATAGATTAATGTGGTATCATTCTTTTCATACGAAGTAATTTTTCTTTTGTTTTAAAATAATTTTGAGCTGCTTTATATCTGTTGCATCTGAGATATAAGAAGCATTTTAAGTTAAAATTTTACCAATAATCAGGGTGTGAATTATGGGAGGGGGGGTGTTAGTGGTTTAAAACGGTCAGATTTAGAGCACCGTTAGATGCCGTATAGGCACTTTTTTGTAAAATGTCAGTGTTTGTATCTACATATAGCATATACTGTAGGTAAAGTATAATTAGAGGCATAGTTTGTCTTTTAATTGACACTTATGTTTGCACTTAGAAGAACATAACAGTCAATGTATAATTCACACACTGCTAATAACAAACTTATTAGCATCTAGTGTAATTTGGGTGGATTTGTCATGGATAGTTTGGTCTTGAGTCTGACCTAGATAAGGGCTGAGACTTTAAGAAATGGCCTACACTGATTCACAAAAAACCATAAGATGATTCCACGGCCTGATAAAGAGAGAATCTCTGTTCTCTTCTCCTTTTGCAAATGTGAGTGCCAAGCGGCTTAAATCCTTGATGTGCAGCAATTAACACCATCAGGAAAGTACAGTGTTTTGCATGAAAGTCTCGTGAAAATATCGCCCAGCCCATTTAGGAAGAATAAACTGCTTGTGGGCAGTGGAAGAGAAAAAGGGAAACTGACGTAGAGTTTCGGAACAGGGAAAAGAAAATGGTCTTAAATCTCCACCTCTTACCCCCTCCCATCTCTCTCGCTCTCTCTCTCATTTCTAATCACTGCAGCCATCTATTGAGATAACTGTCATTAAGGGTGGCGTTGCTGTTTGAAGAAGAATTCTCACAGCAGTAGTATTATTTGGGTCATGCACTAGGCCATTTTGGCCATATTTGGGGATAATTTGAACTGCAGGTTGTACATATCCTTTGATAAATACACTGATTTATATATATATTTAAATGATTAAATATTATTTTATAGTGTGTTAGTAAGGTTTGTGAATTTGTTGTTTAGGCTAGGACTGTCACAATAATCAATATACTGACTTATCATCATACAACACATGGACATGACCTCAATCATTTTGGGTGATGATATATATATATATATATATATATATATATATATATATATATATATATATATATATATATATATATATATATATATATATATATATATATATATCACCCATACATAAAAAAGAAAACAATTCTAGCAACATTCTAGCTGATTGTGCGACATCTTTATCTCTGGAGGTGTCAGTGTAAGTATGGTTCAAAAACACTATGTTATTTACTATAAATTACTATAGTATATTTTCATGTGGGTGTCTGATAACTAATAATAGGTCTGGTAGCAGATATCGCAGTCTATGTTACTTTTTTACCTTACAATTTAATATCATGTATTTAGGGTATGCGTTTTCACATTCTGATTCTAATGCCTCATTGTTACATTGTTAAACTGACTATAATTAAATTAAATATTTTAAGAATAAAATATTGTGTGTACTTTGGATGAGTGTACTTGAATTGTGATGCTATTACACTGTCATTCTGACATTATATAAGGAGACGCATAAAATGGTCCTAAAATGACAATAATAACGTTTATCGCAATATATTTTTGTGCAATATATCATACAACAAAAGATGGATATCATTACGGGCCTAGTTCAAGCATCAAAGTACCTGTACAGTACAAATAGGGTTGGGCAATTATTCGAAATTATATCACAAACCTGATTGAGCAAAGCTGTAATTGTCATGAACATTTAGTCAGGAAAGCGTGGTTATATGATCAACAGTAAATGTCCTCCAAAGGCCAGAGGGCGCTCTTGCGCATAAACTCGCAAAAAAAGCATCCCTAAAGTGGATTCAGTCCTATCTGGACGATCCGTTTGTTAAGTTGTGACGTATGGTATACTGTTTCCGTGTCCAAGCCGCTACTCATTCGAATTGAGAAAATATTCGTTCATGGCCATTTTTTAATCATATCACACTTTAAAGTTTATTTTATATAAAATCATGGTGTACACAACAGTCTCTGTACTTTATGTATCTCTTTGTAACCATTTACTATTACCATTTAATGAGTCTCTACATTCAGTTTGATAGAGTGCTTGGACCCGGAAGCCGCTTTGCTTGATGTCACACTTAGCAAGCAGATAGGAGCCAGAGAGTTGACATAAAAGGTGTTTTATCTACTCACTTATCAATCAGTTTTAGAGTTCCTCAAGGAAGTATTTTAGATCCATTACTCTTTTTTTATATATATTAATGATTTAAAAGTTGCATATTCAGAGGAAGTCTATCTTTATGCTGATGATGCCACAATATTAGTATTTCAGTTCACAGTTAAGAAATGTGTACAACTGGTTTTTGGATAATGAACTTTCTTTACACATAGGTAAAACTGGGGCTATTTTATTTGCTTCAAAAGTGGAATTAAAGGAAGATGATTCTTTTGTGGTAGGGATTAATGATTTGAAAATTGAGTCGAAAAAATTTTGTAAATTATTTGCGATGTTTAATTAATGATAAATTATCAGGAGATGTTATGGCAAGAAAGGTTATGAAGATATGTGGAAAAAATGGTTCTTAGCAAGGCCCGCTGATCTTTCGGATGTTCATTCTTTAAAATTATCAGCAGGAGCTTTGATTCAACCCCATTTTGATTATGCTACCTCATTTTGGTATGTTAGCTGCTCACAGAGTATGAAGGAAAAACTGCAAAAGGCACAAAATAAATTAGTACGAATAATTAAAAAAAATCATCCTAGAGCACATTTGCACAGAGTTTTTTAAAGAATTAGGTATGTTAAATGTTAGTAAAAGAGTAGGTTTTTTTTAAAGCTGGGAATGATACATAAAAATGTTTAATAATGTGGTTCCTATAGGTGAACTATTTTAAAATGGTGAGGCGACAGCATTCATACAGTACTAGGGGTTGAGATTTTAATATTTGTTCATTTTTAATTTAGTTGAAGTTTAGAAGTCTAGTGTGGAAAAATGTTTTTATATACAAGTGCAGTCATGTGGAACAAATTGCCAAAATAGATCAAGTAAATAAAAGACTTAAGGATGTTCAAAATAGTGATCTAGAGATGGTTGTTTGATGAGGATAATTAGTTTTCATGGTGGTTGATGATGTTTTATTTTAGAAGTTTATGTTTTGTGTATAGGTTTGCAGCTGGAAAGGGATCCGCTGAGTAAAATATATGCTGGATAAGTTGGCGGTTCATGCCACTGTAGCAACCCCCTGATTAATAGAGGGACTAAGCTAAAAATAAAATGAATGAATGCATTTAAGAATAATTTTGTTACTGTTTTAAAATGTGGAGGTACAGTTTGTGTTATGCTTTATTTGTATTTTGCAGGCACACTTTGTTTTTTTAACTGCGAGAACCACAATGGAAACAAGCCCAGGACTTTATTTTAAAATGTATGGGATACTTGTAAATATCTGTCAAATAACAATTCAATTCAATTAAACTGCAAACACCAACTAAGTAGAAACTCAGGAAATACCCAAATTGTAGCATTATAAACAAATGCTTTAACTGCTCTCATTGATTCATCATGACTAATAATCACACAACTACAAAATCAACTCACGGGATACTTTTCAAACACTCAAATTAAAGGGTTAGTTCACTAAAATAAATGTATTCTGTCATTGTTTGCTCATGCTCTAGTTGTTCCAGTCCTGTATACATTTTTATAAAGCAGGTGTCTGTAAAAAGGAAGATAGTTGGATAAATGTAGAGAACTAGCCCTTTAAGTTATGAAGTGACTTTGGAGTAAAACATGTTATTATAGGTGGCAGTTTTACATGCAGCATTCACTATACACAGAGCCATAGTTCATTGAAAAGCGACACAAACATCTTTTAATGTCAAGAACGATTATATTATTGTCATTGTTGATGGATTAGCTCAGTTTAAATTTTGAAAGTGACCTTGTGTAGCTTAATTTGAACTTTTTTTTTTCATTATTTCACTTGCATATATCAGATCAAACTTCATTATTCCAGGCATTCAGTTCTTGTATATTAATATAAAACAGTGAAGCATTATTTCATTAGTAACATTACTTTTGTAGCATGTAGCTTGAATTATTTCTTATACATTATTTTTATAAAGAACCAGCTGGCTCTTCAGTAGTTTTGATTCTCAGTGACTGAACGAGAAGGTATGTAAAAGAGAAGTGCTCACCACA